AACAGAGATTAGATGAAAATGATAATACTCTTGAAATATGTCTTACACGCAGGCTAATGGTTTGGGATTACTTTGTCTTTATCTTATTTTAGATCTTACCTGTATCACTTGCTTGTTCCTCATCCAGGATTGTATTAGTATTACTAAGATTTTTTTCCCTCCATTTCTCATTTGCTGGTAGACAGAACAATATACTTGGTAGGCTAAACAGAATCAACTTAAACTTTGCTATGGTAAATTGAGAATTGAAAGTGCTTCAGCTGAAATAGTGACTATTTGTCTTGTGTTTTGTTATTTATGTCTGTGTGTTTGTGTGTAAGTATATTTCTTTGATAATAGAGAAAGAAGAGGGGGAAAGGACAAGCACACTGAATAGCATATCATGCTGTGATTCCTAATCTTCTTAGCCAACCAGGATAATAGGCACATGTGTCTCTCATGTAGAGGTTGACCAGGGAACTGAACCTGTAGTCTTCCATATAGATCTAGCTTTGCTTGAGCAGCACATTACTGCTGCACCACCAATCCAACCCCCTTTGTTTTCTGATGAACATTACCTAACTTTACTACATTCTGATTAAGGACTCAAAATAACCTTTTTGTTTTGCCTTTCTAGCTGTGTTGTTTTTATAGTTCATGTCTTCCCCTGAAATAGTTGTAATTGCTTTTTTGATTTTGAAATTGTATCTTACTGCACTTGCAAGAGTAAGAGTCATACAAAATATTGATCCTTATAAGCAAGTTAAGAAGGTTTTTTTAGGATGAAACTTTCTTTTCTTTAGAAAAGCCAGGGGCATCTGATGGAAAACTAACTTTCTGAGTCAATTTTACTTAAATATGACAGACTTGGAATTATGTATTTAAATGTGTGGTTTTGGTCCAAGTCACATGTAGGGTAGTTCTTTTACATTTTACCAGAGTTTTATATTTCTTATGTAAACTTTAAATTTAGGAGATTATCCTTTGCTCACAAGGTGCCTAGATAGATAGGATGAAGACTTCCTATATATAAGATTGCTTTTGTGTTTCCAAAATAGTGATAAATATTAGCCTGTTTTTCCATTTGTCCTATGAGTAGAATCATGAATATAACCTAACCTTTACTTATTATAAGCATGTATATGGATGACTTTTTAGTTTTTGTTGTAGGATGTGTGCACTTACCCAAGAGACAGACAGAAAGAGAGAAAAGGGGAAAATGAGAATACACCCTCCGGGGAGGATGGCTATGCTGCCATTCCTCCTCCTGCAGAACTCTTGGGATTTGGAGTATGCATGAGCATGAACCTGGTATATTTTTGAACCCTTGAGAATAGGACTTGAACTGTGCAGAGCTGGCCATATGGGATCCAGCCACCTTCACTACCATAACGCTAGCTGGCCCCTGAATTACTTTATTTTTATTTTTCTCTGCTTTTTAATTGCCAGAGATCTGCATTCACCAGACAGAGATGTGGGGTTGTGCTACTTTCTTTTCTAGATAAATCTGTATAGTCTCTAAAAATATGCTATAATTTTGGGTTTACCTATGGGGAAACCAAATGCACAGTAAAAGCAGTAAAAGACTGGATTGTTCTAAGAGTGGATAATGCTGTGATGAAAGCTTGAGAATACTGTTTCCCACTTTGTGACTAGTGGGAAAAAAGTGTGACTAAACTTTTTTATTGTTTTTCACTTTTGATTAGTGTAAACATTTTTTTACTATCTCTTTTGTAACCATTGGATCCCATTACTTGATCTTGGAATGAAAACAAAGGGCCTTATGGTGATTAAATTCTAAATACTCTGTATTTAAAATGGCAGAATTAAATGGTACAGAGAGGTTGTCACTCATTTGTAGTAATAAGTAATAGTTTCCAATCTCTGAGATCTTCATCTCCATTTCTCAGTCTTTTTACTCACCCTCTCAGCTACTCCCTCTATCATTTTCTCCCCTCTTAAAATATCTGGTTTCCTACTACTGTAGGATGAAAATAAAATATTTTCAAGCAGGGCATAAAGACACTTACATGATTTGACAGATTTCCTCTCCAGCTTCATCTCCTGCTATTCCATTGCTTTGCATATGTCTCTGCCTAGAATCTCCCCCAGCTCCTTCTGCATCCCAAACTATGTAACCTTTGTCTACCCCTTTCATTTCTATTTTGTCATTATTTTAGTAGATGTCTTAACACATTTTGACTACTGCGGTAGTCAGGCTATCTTGTGATTATCTGCACATATGTTTCCTTATTTAACAAACCAGGTGTGCATCTTGTTCACCTTTAGATTCATCGGTTGGTACTCAGCATTGTATATAGACCATGATATTTAGTAAATGTTTATCTGAATCAATAAGAAGTTACAAATTTTATGCCTATTTAAGCGTCAATTCAGCAAATCTTTTTTTCTTTGCTCATCTTTCAGGTCAACCTTGATATATGTATCATTTTCCATTTCATTTTATATGACTATACCCTTTCTGGAGCTTTAGTGATTACAAAGCATGTTTTGGCTCTTAATTTACCTTTGCTATCTATGATTTATAGGTCAGAAAAGTTAAAGTATGAGAATGCATATATGCTATCTATGATGTGCAGGTTGAAAAGTTGAAGTACAAGAATGCATATATAAAAAGGGAGACTAATACTCGGGTTTTAGATTTTTTATCTAGCATTGATTTTATTTTGTAACAGCTGCTTAATTAAAATTATCCTTTTTAAGTTTTTAGTAAGTCAAAGGGTTTATTTAAAATAAAATTCAAATGTATATTTTATAATACCATGATGTATTTATGTTATTGTTTGGAAAAAATAGATTAATTTTCTTAATGTTTTGAGCAAATATTTGTTCTCTATGTGCTAGGTACTAAATAGAAATACAGAGGAAAGCCAGAAGTGACCTACTCCCTTCCCTAGTTTGTAGGGAAGACTGACATTGGCAAAATAATCGCACAAATAAATAAATAACATTGCAATTTGAATTAGGAATGAGTACATGATAGTAAGAAGTTAACAGGGTGATTTGATTTTGTCAATGGAGGCTTTTTCAAGAGGGTGTAAGATCGGTCATAGTTTACCCATTGGTCCATGTGGAAGGCAGGAGGTAAACTGAAACTGGACTTTCAAATAGAGAGAAGTTTATTAATGGAGGGAGTAGCCAGTATGGCTAGAAGCCAAATCAAGATGAAGTGTAATGTGAAATGAGACTGCCATAGGAGGTGAGGCCAGACCATGCAGGACACAGTATGGATAGAAGCCAAATCAAGATGAAGTGTAATGTGAAATGAGACTGCCATAGGAGGTGAGGCCAGACCATGCAGGACATGCAGATCCTGTTAGAGATTTTGGTCCATATCCTGAAATCAATTTTTTTTTTTTTGGAGAGATTTTCACTATAGGGCGCATGCGCTCGCCAGACAGACAGAGAGAGACATTAGAGACAGAAAGTGAGAAATCACCCCCGGGGGGGATGGTCACGCCACAATCCCTTCTCCTCCATTCTCCTCTCGGGATCCTGGGCACGCACGCACACACGCCCGGCCTGAGTTTTAAGCCACCGGGTCCGGGACGCGAACCGCGGTCGACTACGTGGGAGTCCAGCGACATAGCCATTACGCTAACTGCTCGTTCCCCTGAAATCAATTTTTAAAGCAAGGAGTATGGCTGGACCAATTAAAAGGCATGTTCAGTAATTTAACAAACATTATTTTTTTCATGGCTAGGGACAGGTAGAGATGAATTCAGGAGATATTTAGAGAGAGAAAACTACATGACTTGTTGATGTTTTGGATGGGCACAGCAGAGGTAAGGGCAGTTTCCAGGTTGGGCTTCTGGTTTAATTAGCAGGTGGATAGCAGTGTCACCAGAGGAGCTTTTAGAGAACAAGTGAGAAGATGACCATGAGTTCAGTTTTTTATACCTTTAAGACATCCTAGAATATTCTAAAATAGGCAATTAGAAGTATCGATTGATGGCTGAAAGGAGAGCTAGGGCTTAGTAATACCAATTTGTGTACCGTGTATATAGATAATAATTGAAACCATGACTATAGATGAGATCATCTTGAAAGGGTACAGCAAGAAGAGTATATGATTTAGAGAAACAGAAAATGGCAGCCTATAAAAGCCATTAAAGAAAATGGTGAAGTGCAATAGAAACAACAGGTTGAACCAGTGTTTTTAGGTATATAGCAGGAATAGAGAACCTACAGGATTTCAGCTTTAGTCTTAATTTCATATGATCTACTTGCCAACTTCCAAAAGTATATTACTATATGGCAACATTTACTAATATATAACATTTACAAAATTGCCATTGTAATAGCCTAAAAGGCTACAAAATCATTGCTTTCTGTAATTATGACCTAATTACATTTAGCTATTTTCTGTTCCTGTTTCTAGACTGATTGTAAAGTCAGTCTAGAATGAATTGTCTTTTTTTTTTTTTTTTAAAGAGAGATTCTTACTATAGAGTGCATGTGCTTGGCGGAGAGACAAAGAGAGATAGAAAGCCAGAAATCACCCCTCAGAGCGGCTAGCCATGCCACAGTCCCTTCTATTCCATTCTCCTCTAGGGATTTTGGACATGCACACACAAAATGCCCATCATGAGTTTTAAGCTGCCAGGTCTGGGACTCCAATCAAAGTCAACTGTGTGGGAGTCCGGCAACATAATCATTACACCATCTGCTGGTCCCAGGATTGTCCATTTTTAAATCTTAAACATGATATACTGTATTTATTTAAAATACATACCTTGGCTGTATTTTCTTTTCTTTCTTGGTTTAACATTTGTGTTAACACTGCCTCCTGCAGTTAAAAACTAATGATACACAAACCCAAGTAAAGCTCTTCTACACAATTTTTTTATTTTTTGCATATCCCTATTGTTTAGTATGTAGCTTATGTATAATATGATTAATAAGTGCTTAATAAGTGCTTAATAAGTGTTTCCTGTATTATTGAATTAAGAGAGGGGAAAGGTTAAACATAATTTTAATACTTTTTTTTTTTTTCATAGAATGGCTGGCTGTGGAGAAATTGATCATTCGATAAACATGCTTCCTACGAATAGGAAAGCGAATGAATCCTGTTCTAATACCACACCTTCTCTAACAGTCCCTGAATGTGCCATTTGTCTGCAAACATGTGTTCACCCAGTTAGTCTGCCCTGTAAGCATGTTTTCTGCTATCTTTGTGTAAAGGGAGCTTCATGGCTTGGAAAGCGATGTGCCCTTTGTCGACAAGAAATTCCTGAAGATTTCCTTGATAAACCAACCTTGTTGTCACCAGAAGAACTCAAGGCAGCAAGTAGAGGAAACGGTGAATATGCATGGTATTATGAAGGAAGAAATGGTTGGTGGCAGTATGATGAGCGCACTAGTAGAGAGCTGGAAGATGCTTTTTCCAAAGGTAAAAAGAACACTGAAATGTTAATTGCTGGATTTCTGTATGTTGCTGATCTTGAGAATATGGTTCAATATAGGAGAAATGAACATGGACGTCGCAGGAAGATTAAGCGAGATATAATAGATATACCAAAGAAAGGAGTAGCTGGACTTAGGCTGGACTGTGATGCTAATTCCGTAAACTTAGCAAGAGAGAGCTCTGCTGATGGAGCGGACAGTATATCAGCACAGAGTGGAGCTTCTGTTCAGCCTCTAGTGCCATCTTCTGTAAGGCCCCTGACTTCAGTAGATGGTCAGTTAACAAGTCCTGCAACACCATCCCCTGATGCAAGCACTTCACTGGAAGACTCTTTTGCTCATTTACAACTCGGTGGAGACAACATAGCTGAAAGGAGTCATAGAGGGGAAGGAGAAGAGGATCATGAATCACCGTCATCAAGCAGGGTACCCGCACCAGACACCTCCACTGAAGAAACTGAATCAGATGCCAGTAGTGATAGTGAGGATGTGTCTGCAGTTGTTGCACAGCGGTCCTTGACCCAACAGAGACTTTTGGTACCTACTGCAAATCAGACAGTAGCTGATCGATCAGATCGATCAGGAACTGATCATTCAGTAGCAGAGGGTGGAACAGTGAGCGTCAGTGTCAGATCTAGAAGGCCCGATGGACAGTGCACAGTAACTGAAGTTTAAAATAGAAGTCTTCACCTCTGTGCTCAAGTTGAAATGGTTATCTGTAAATTTCTGCCCACATAACATTACACTCATCCCTAATAGTGCATTTTGGGAGTTGGGGTGGGATGGGATATGGGAAGGATAGATCTGTAATTAAAATGTCTAACATGTCTCTGTTGAGAAATTTATTTAATGTATGGAACTTGGGTGTTAATAGTTGAGAGCTGTTTAGTAATAACCCAATTTTCTTGAGATTTTGTTTATAGTTTTTTTTTCTTTTTATTATTTTCTTAGTTTCTTCAGTCTGTGTGTGTGTATTATCTGTACATTAAAGGTCCTCATCTGACTCTTGCATTGTGTCGTCTTTTTCTGCATGGATTGGCATAAAACCATTACTAAAATTGACACTTAGATGTTTGATATCATTATGAGCAGGAAGCTTAATTTAATGTGAGAATATACATGAATTTGGGATTTTAAAATTGATGTATAACAACTATTTTATAGTAAAGTTATTGGACGGGAATATAAAGAAAATAGCTAATAACTTGTATTTCAAACTCTTTGTAACACTTCATGGCGTTACCATAGGCTTTGCTGTCTAGTCCTTGTAGTTTGAGGTTTCCCTTGGTCCGCATTTTTCCTTTTGATTACAAAATTTATAATTTAATAAATACTAGAGTTTATCAAGAAGCATTTGTCTCTTCTTTCAGTCTGGAAAAGGGTCGATATATTCTGATACTTGCTGTCAAAGGGTAACTAATGAGGTAATGGTTTGAATTGGTTGCATTCAGCTTTATCAAACATTCAACTTAGAAATGTTTGGTTTTCTTCATGAACACCTTTTTTTTTTTTTTTTTTTTTGAGAGGTTTTTCGCCATAGGGTGCGTGCGCTCGCCAGACAGAGAGACAGAAAGCGAGAAATCACCCCCCAGGGGGGATGGCTACGCTGCAATCTCTTCTCCATTCTCTTGGGATCTTGGGCACGCACGCACATGCGCCCGGCGTGAGTTTTAAGCCACCGGGTCTGGGACTCGAACCGCAGTCGACTACGTGGGAGTCCAGCGACATAGCCATTACGCTAACTGCTGGTCCCCCCATGAAGACCATTTAAACAAAATCTGCAAGCAGTATGTATGAATAAATGTGTGTACATAAACTTAAAGCCTGTAAGACTTTTAATCTCTCAAATAACTAATACCATAAATATTTTGTATTTCTTTACCAGTTAGTTTTCATCAGTGGTCTAACACTCTGGATTAAGTAGTAGACTTATAAACAGCCATAGTAAACACATTAATTTTACACAAAATGTGGTGGGCCAGAAAATCCACTTTTATTAGGCAAATTTTCTTTCTTTGCAAGGAAGAAGTATTGGGTTAACATGCTAATCTAGAATTTGTCCATGAAAAAAGGAGTATGAGTGTTTCTTAGTGTATTTTCCTAACTTAAAACAGTAGTATCATGTTGATAAAGCATATACAGGTTATTTTTACTATGGTTCTTAAAGAAATGGAGTGTTAAAATATTAAACACACTCACTACTTAAAATTCTCTTTCACCTCTTCTGATTGGTTAGAATTGGGATTTAACTGATAAATATGTTTTAAAGAGTGTACTACTGTAATGATGATAAACGTGCATTTTTATTTAGTTGTAAAAGATAGCTAAAAGTTAAAAGGTAGTTTTCTGTTTTACAGAAAAAAATAGCTGATGTAAAATGTAAATTTATTTCAGGAGACCCTTTGTATAGATTCAGCTTTCAAACTTAACAATAATACAAACAAGTTTGAAAATCTCAAGAGGTCAAAATTGAACAGCTAGTTTACATACAGTCAACTGAGTTTCCATATCATGGCTTTCACTGTTTGCTAATAACACAGAAAACTAATTTTGTTTTGTTTTCAAAAACTAATGATTTTCAGTCAGCCTTGTAACAGTGGTTAAAGGAGCTAGATCCCACATGCCCAACTGCAGTTAGAATCCTGGTCCCAGCACCATGAAAAACACGCCATGCACATGTGGGTGCATACATGCCCCAAATCCCAACAGGATGGAAAAGAGATTGGCATGTGACCACGCCCCACTGAGGGGTGCTTTCTTCCTTTCCCTCCCCTCTTACTCTGTCTATCACATGCATCCTAGTAATTAAAAAAAAGATGTAAAAGATGAATTAAGGCTCAAAATTTGTAGGAGTTAGCAGGGTACAATTTTTTTTAAATGCCCATTTCCATGACAATTCCAGCTGCTTGAAGCAGAAGATAATTGATCATAACTTTTCTTATTTTCTTGTCCCCTGATCCTTTCATACTTTTGTTCTTTAACTGCAGGGTTCCTCTAGTTATTTTTGAAGATTATTTCAAGGTAACAACAAAAATGTTATAAAAAATACCCCAGGAAAAGATTTTGTGTAGAAGCTTTTTACCTTTTAAAGAGAATTATTTTTAAATGTTCTAAAGGGCATATGAACTCACCAGAGAGAAAGGGAAAGTGGGAGGGAGAGTGAGAAAGCAAGCTACCAGGTCCAGGACTCAAACCACAGTTGGCCATGTGGGAGTCCAATGCCTTAACCACCATACCACCTCCTTTCCCCAGAAACTTTGACTTCTAAAAACTGATCTTTGATTATAATCTAAGAAGTGTGGGAATATAGAAATTAATATCAATAGTTTCGGGGGGTGGGAGGGTTCCCTTTGCTTTTATTGCTAAAGTGTACATGTGCTTGCCAAAGAGAAAGCACCTCCCAATAGGGTGTGGTCATGCCAAAATCCTTTCTCCTCCATTTCTCCACCCCATCAGGATTTGAGGCATGCATGTACATGTGCTCAGCATGTTCTTCAAGCTGGAAGTGGCTGGAATTTGAACCATGGTATAGACACATGGGGTCCTACTCCCTGTGCACGGGGCTTAACGACTGCACTATGAAGCAATAATTTTTAAGCCAGAAGTGGCATATTCTAGCCAAATGTTGCAGATTATTTGAGCAATACCCCACTGAGTATTTGGTAAACAAAGCTAAGAGGCCAATGAGTTCAGGTAGTCAAAATTCTTTCAATCTGAATAGTAGTCATATCCTTTAATTCTGATGCTCATATCTTAATATTTAGCCTTTATACATATTAATCAGAGCTTAACAGTACATTCACATTTTAAAAGTTACTTGTTAAATTTCCCTTTCCTAGCAATAGCCTCTAAATTTGCAGGTCCACCCCAAACTGTTCCTAAAAGATCTCTTTCATTCTGTAATGCCTCCTCCATACACAGCTCTTTGCCTGAAATAACAGATTTTTTCAAAGTTCTAATTACTTTTGAAGGTCCGTTGACAAACTGTTTTAGCCACTCTTGTGCCTCTTCTAGAGATTTAGTTTCATCTGAAGACTGCAAGACCTCTTCCACCATTCCTATGCTTAAAGCTCTTTGTGAATTCAGTTTGAGGGCCCCACTTAACACTTTGAGAGCTTGTCTACTGCCAATTATTTCAACCAGCCGGGTAGTGCCACCCCAACTTGGTATTATACCCATTTCCTTGTGGACAAATCTGATCTCACTCTCTGGAGTCATTAGTCTGCAAAAGAAGAAAAAAAACCTTAATTGTAACTACATATATATGCTACATTTATAAAGCATTAACCTATTCATGATCTTATAAGACATCTTCATAGGCAGATATAGTAAAAATTGAATTTTAGACATGCTTTCTATCTAAAATTTGATTTACTACACAGTACTTAACACTAACACTTCCCTTTGAAAACAATCTCAGCATTTCTTTTTGTGCTTGCTTATCCTTTACTCTGCAAACTGAGTCTGTATTTTTTTCTTAAAAGTCCAAAGATTTTTTTTGTTTCTTGTTTTTTGGAGAGGTTTTTGCTATAGGGCATGTGTGCTCGCCAGACAGAGAGAGGCAGATAGAAAGCGAGAAATCACCCCCCAGGGGGGGATGGCCACGCAGCAATCCCTTCTCCTCCATTCTCCTCTTGGGATCTTGGGCACACACGCACACATGCCCAACATGAGTTTTAATCCACCTGGTTCAGGACTCAAACCGCGTCGACTACGTGGGAGTCCAGTGACATAGCCATTAAGTCCAAAGTTTTATCTAAAGTGAATGGTGGAGTAATGAGACAAACTGGATTAAGTAACAGTATGGGAATAGGAAATGTCAAGTGCATACCATGAAAAAAAAAATGACGGGTTGTCAGAAATGTCATGCTGCATTTTTGCATAGAAAAACATGTCATGACTTTTCTGACAACCCAACAAAAAGCATAGTAAGACTATCTTCATTAATCTTCAGAAAAAGAAGTTTTGTTTTCAACCCAGCATCTACCCAGCAAATACTAAGCATGACTAATACCAGGTTGCATTCTAGGTGCTGAGACAACAGATTTAAAAAAAAAAATTTTTTTTGTGCTCAGGAGCTTACATTCTAGCATGGAGGAAAAGACACTAAAAAACTCCAGCAGAGACAAATGCTATAAAAGTAAATAAATAAAGCAAGAAACAAATGAATGTGTATTTATTAGAGAGGTGCTCTTTTAGAGGAGAAGGTTTGGAATATTTAAGCAGTTACAAAAAAGAATGAACAATGCAAAAATTGAAAAAGTTGTCCCAGGAAAAAGAATTTTAAGTACAAAGGCTTTGAAGTAGAAATGTTTAGGATCTCTGAGGACCGGGCTAATATAATGAATCAAGAAGGCAAAGAGAATAATGGGATGAAGAGAAGTCTTATAGGCCTTAGTAAGAAGTTAAGATTTTGTAAGATACTTAGTTGGTCAACCAAGGGACAAGCATATGCCTTATTTTGTAAGGGTTGCTCTGGTTCCTGTATGAAGACTTCATTTAGCAATTAAATAGAACTTAAACCAATTCTTTAAAGAACTTAACCCTCAGAACCACCCATTTAAGGTACAATATTAGCCTCATTTTTTCAGATGGGGAAGCTAAAGCAACAAGTTAAAGAGTTTGCTTAAAGTAAGTTATGAAATAGCCAGTACTTAAACTGAGGTAGCTTGGCTTCAGTATATGTGCTCTTCATTTCACGGTTCACACTAGTAAGCTAACCAAGACTAGAAGCAGGGATACCAGTAAACTGATAGTGGTTTGGGTTAGACTGATAGCAGTGACTTTACATAGGGGCTAATTTTCTGCAAATTGTGGGATTTTTATGAATGGGGTGATTAACAAGGTGAAACAGTAAAAGGGAGTTAACACAGAAAGAGATGATATAGCAAAACGCTTCACATTTTCTAGTTAAATATTTGTATATTAGCAACAGACCAAGAAAGCAATATACGTTTTAGAAAATGCTGCCTGTGAGTTATTTTGACAGTATACTTCAAAAGAAGCTTTAGGACTGAGTTTGGACCAAATGTCATGTCTAAATTTTTTTTTTCAAGAAAATTACTGCTTTCGTACTATTCATTATAAAAAAAAAAAGACCTTAAGTTATTGGCATTCCAAAGTTAAATATTCAAGTGCAGGTTGTTTCATTCTATTAAGACCAAGAAAACAAATTCAGTCTTTGTTTAATCAAGAGAAATATTACAGTGAAAAACTGTCACAAAAGCCTATTTATTAACCCACTGGGGAACTTCATAGCTGTGAATTTCTACACAGGGAAATATGCCTCAGTTATGAGGAAACTTCAGAAAGTTTGTGGGAAAATGGAATCAAAATACTGAGTTTATGTTGATGTAAAAAATTTTGAAATCCATGCACAACTTTTTCATAATATGCATTTTCCATGAACTTTTTGATTACCTCTGTTACGAAAATAGTTTTCAATAACCAGTTTTTAAATAGGGAGAAAGAAAATACCAGTCTCATAAGAATCTGCATCTAGCCCAACAATTAATGAGGGTGATACTTCCTTGTTATGATAAACAGGAAATAATGTTAAAAAGGAATAGAAATCACAGATACAATATCTAATAGCCTTGGAGATAGGAATATTAATATTGAATCTAATCCTCCAAAGCTTTTCACAGAATGAGTGAAATATATCACTGTTCTAAATTAAGTCCTGAAAATGACACTTAAGTTGGCTCAAAGTATGCTACCTACAATGAAGAAAAATATCAGGAATAAGTTAATTCAGGATCAACATAAAAACTGCTTAAAGTCTTAGCTGTTGCAATACTGTAGATAAGCTAATGACAACAAAATTTATTACCTGTTACATAAGCACATTTATATTTTAAAAAAATGATTGTTTTTAATTTACATTTAATCACTGTGTATCTTTACAGCGTACAACATGGTTTTTCCCAGCATGAATACAGTGCATATTAGTCAAGTCAAATACAATATCATCTACATTATCATCAGCAGGTAACTTTCCACTTTTGTGTCTATTAAATGTGCTTTGTTTTAACCCTGATCCCCTCTCTCCTACCCCATTACCCCCTCTCACTGTCTCTAGTATCTATAGTTGTCCTCCCTGCAATGATATCTTCCAATCTTTCAGTTACTGCTACAAAGCACAGACATTGAGTATATGTTGAACAGATACATTCATAGACTGGCTTGTTCCACTTAAGAATTAAATATGGAATCCTTTGCTTCTAAAAGTTTTTATCATCTTTGTATCATGTTTCTTCCCCCTTTGCTCTGTTTATAAGATAATGGATACCTTTTCAAATCCCATTTCACAACTCTAACAATTAATAGGTAATCTTTGTAAGAATTCCTGTTGAACTCAAGCACTAACATCCTTTTTTTTTAAAGACAGGATCTCTAGGAACCAGGAGGTGGTGTAGTGGTTAAGGTGCTAGACTTCCATGTAGTAGACTGAGATTTGAGTCCTGGACCCAGCAGTTTGAAATTCATGACAAGCGTGTGGGCATGCCCAAAATCCCAAGAGGAGAATAGAGAAGGGAGTGTGGCATGGCCAACCCCCCCCCCGGGGGGGGGATGATTTCTTGCTTTCTATCTCTCTGTTTCTGTCTCTCCAATGAGAACTCAGGCTCTACAGCAAAAATCTCTTTAAAAAAAAATAAAATCATGGGTCCAGCAAGTGGTATGTGGTCAAGGCACTGGACTCCCACATGGTTGTCTGCGGTTTGAGTCCCAGACCTGGAGGCTTACTTTCTCACTCTTCCTCTCTATCTCTCTGGTCAAACTGAAGTATTATAATAAGTAAAAGTAAATAATTATTTAAAAAAAAAAAAGATAAGATCTCACTTACCATGTTGTAAACCTTCTCCTTCAACCTTCCAATTGGGACCACTGGTGGATCCCACCACACCCAACATTTAGGTTGGACTGAGAATCAAAACTAGGTCTCCTATCTGGTCTCAGTGACTAAGAAAAGTTGAGGCAGAAGGACTTCAAGCTCAAGCCTGGCCTGGGCAACATAGTGAGACCTATCTATGAAAAAGAGTCTATACCTGTAGTCTCAGCTTGGAGGCTGAGACAAGAGGAGCATGACACTGCAAGACTTTGTTGTTAAAAAAAAGAAAAAGTAAAGACTCAGGTCTTTGAACAAATGTATTTTAGAAATACAGTTTAAAAAATAAATTACTGGGCTAGCCCATGGCATATTGGTTAAGTTGGCTGAATTTCATTTGATAGACTACATGGTTTGAGGCCCAGACCTAGTGACTTCAAAACATGTGGGGTACATATGTGTGTGTGCCCAAAATCCCAAAAGGATGGAGAAATGGAGGAGAAGGGATTGTGGTCATTCCCTGGGAGTGAGGTGGGAGTGAGGGTGGGGGTGAAAGGATGGGGAGTGTTTTCTCACTTTGTCCTCAGTGAACACACATGCTCTCTGGCAAAACTTAACAAAATAAATGACCTGTTTTACTAATAGTTTTTAGTAAAAATTATGTAAGAAATAGTTTTAAAAAATGTTTATTATTAAAGGTACCTCTAGTAAACTCTGAAAAAAGATGGAAATGCATAAATAATGTAATCGAGAGAGATACGCCTTTTTTGGTAAAAGTTATCTGAGACTTTATTATAACCCTTTCTACAATTATCACTTTATATGGAAGTCAAATTGCCTGTCAGAGATTTATGCCATTTAGCATGCAATTGTTCATCGGACTCTCTTCTGAATATATGCATTACCTCTTTCAATTTTTACATTCCAGAAGGTAGATAGGTCACTATGATTCCCATCCTTTTTTTCACATTTTATTGATTCACAAAAGATCTTAATCTAAATACTCAAAATAGTTTCAATAGCAAGTGGAGCAGATATATACATGTTTATGAACACATAAACTTTAGGCATAAAACTCAGTGAATAGAATGAACATACCATAAAGTAGCATCTAGCTGAGGCTATGTAGCTTACTGCAGTCATTAAATATATATTTTCTATACAATTTTTAATTTCAAGAAAAGCAGTGTTAGCTTTAATCAAAATCAAAAAATGTTAAGAGAAATTTTCTTAAGACTTAAAAGCTAGGAGAAAGGTTAGGATTCAGTTCAAATAGTAGTTAGATGAACCTATCAACAGCTCAAGAGAAGACAAAAATCCTTTAACCTGGAAAACAAAGCATAGAAGAAAATCAGTAATGTTTTAGCCAAAAGTTAAAAAATTCTATTTCACCA